TTGGTTTCCATTTAAAAGCATCCAAAATGATTTTTATATAGGGTGTATGTTTAGCCTCTGCTAGAATACTTCCCAAATATATGCAGTCGCGAGCTCTTTCTAGACCGACAGAACATTGAGAAATTACAATACCAATTTACAAGACTTCTCAAACAAGATCTATCTTATAAAGATAGATGAGAAGAATAGAAGTCGAATTATGCTTAACCTTACCCAAATTTTTGAAACCCTATAAAACCAAACTATAGTTATTAGTAGTACTTTGAATGTTTCCAAAGACGGTAATTATAACCTCCTGAATTAGCAGTTCGTACAGAATGTAACGAAAACATCAACCAAATTAAGATCACGTTTCTTTATTATCATGCGCTACACAAGCTTCTGTAATAGTTTATCAATAGATATCCGGTCAAGTCAAATCCTTCCTCAACTCGATTCTTCCTTGAACTTCTACATGACCCAATTCGATCGGTGAAGTTCACCTAATCAAAGCTAAGTTTAACGCAAGGCCACCCAACATCTATCGCTGTGAGTAAATAACCGATATCCACTTTGTCGCCATTTTAATTTTTAAAAGCCTATGTGATCCTTATGCTACACTTAACATTCCCATTGTAAGATCTATTTTGGAGGTTTTCTGTGTGAAAAGCCCTCCATGTATACACTTGTAATTTATTCATACTGATTCCTTCACATGTACATTCTGTTGGTTTTTTGACTCCATTTGAGCTGGCAGCGTTTGTATTTTATTGTGGCTATTGTTTCCCTTAACTCCACTTGTGTCTCTTCTAAAGACACTACCGATCCCAAAACCTAGTAAAGGAGGGGTGTTGGTCATGGGGTTAGCGACCCCACTAAAAAACGCTAACCAGAAAAAATAATCCAAACCATTTAGACTCTGCCCCGGGAGTTAGAAAGTCTCCATTTAGAAGAACTATGACGCCTCATAGCAAAATCCAAGTTCCTTTGGATGTGACGAGGCCGATGCCACTTCTAGCAACCAGAGCAAAAATTTGTATAGGTACAGTGAACGTCCGGACAATGTGAAAGACCGTAAAAGTCAGTCAAATGGCAACGAAATGACGAGGTACAAATTAGTAGTACTGGGAACCAGCGAAACCCATTAGACCCAAGCTGGATATCAAATGCAGGATGCGGAAAAGATGCTGCTATACTCCGGCCACGAAGAGGAAAATGCTCCGTACACTCAAGGCGTTGTTCTGATGGTGTCCAAAAAAGCACGAAATGCACATATAAGATAAGAAATTCATGGATCCGAAATCATCGAAGCGTCATTAAAACAAAGAATGAGGGGACCACAATGAATATTATCCAATGTTATGCACCCACCAGTGATAGCAACGACGACACTAAAGATCAATTCTATGAGTGGCTGCAATCAGTCATAGAGAGGTGCTCAAGAAAGGACCTCACCATTCCGATGGGAGATCGAAACACCAAAGTCGTAATAGACAACACCGGATATGGAGACACATGGGAAGGCATGAACCAGGAGAGAGAAACAAAGTGAGGAAAGATTTTCAAATCTATGTGCCTTCAACAAATTGGTCATGGGCGGCACAATATTTCCTACACAAAGCTAGATGTATCTCACCGGATCACATCACAGAAAACCAGATATATCATATATGCATCAATAAAAATTCCGAAGGACAATGGAAGATGTGATTTTGATTAAAGACCCATCTTTTGTTAAATAATTTTCTCTTGCATGTTGCCGGACAATTGACAGTAAGGTCATGTTTGACTAAGCTCAAAGTCACTGCGTCGTTCAGTGTGCGGCTGTTAACCTTTTGACTTTCTGCTTTTGAGGATTGCTGGAATCCCTGTAGATAGATGTCTGACCCCACGTTGTTGGGAATCATATTATTGATTCTCAGGTATTAAAATCTTTTGTATTAACTGCTTCTTTTGTTGTTAAGCACGCTATTTTGTGTTATAGAGACTGTTGACTGTATAGCACAGGCTGTACCGTTTAAGGTATTTTGTATTTTTGATATAATTTGTTATATTTCCTAGATAAGAACTGTTTAACTTGAGCACAGAGTTTGAGTTTTTATATAATTTAACACAAGTAGCTCAAAAACGCTTGGTACGCTATACAGAAGAACGTAGTCTTGTCCAATTGTATAAGTTTTGTTTCGTTAGTTCCTCGTTCAAACCAAATATCGGCAGTTCGGTCGTTACAACAAGTGCTGTATGACTGAAATGAAGGACACCTAATAAGGATTGCAAAGGAAGGAGATCTGAGCAAATGTGAGAACCACAGAGGAATCACACTACTATCAGCACCAGAGTAAGTCTTCAACAGAGTGTCGCCGAACCGGACAAAAGACGAGACTTCGAGATCGACAGGCTACATCCCGTGGGGATCTGTCGAACACAAGACAAATTGGGACACTCCAGATCGTCGTCGAACAATCAGTTGAATGACACTCAACGATATGCGTCAACTTCAGTGATTATGAGGCGTTTGGTAGTGTAGACAGGAGAACATCATGGAAACGTCTTCAACACTGTGGAGTTTCTGGGAAGATTTTCAACATTATCCGGAACTCATACGACGGCTGACTACTCTCCCCCTTCCTCTCTCTTCTGGTGGTCGACTGAATTATGAAGACCTCGACATCTGAAGGAAACACGGAATAGAGTGTACAGTTTAGAACTTCGCAGATGATCTCGCCCCAATCCCTTACACACGAACAAAGGCAGATGGGGACAACTACCATAGCAGCAGCCTCGGCAACAGTAGGCCTCAACATACACAAAGGAAAGACCAAGGTCTTCAAATACAATACCGAGTATGCCAACCCAATCACTCTTGATGGCGTAACTCTGGTAGAAGTAAAATCATTCACGTATCTAGGAAGCACCATCGATAAATAAGGAGGATCGGATGCCGGCGAAAAGGCGAGGATTGGCAAAGTAAGGGCCGCATTACTTCAGTTGAAGAACATATGGAACTCAAAACAACTTCCAACCAATATCAAATTCACAATCTGCAATACGAACGTCCAGGCGGTTCTAATGTACGGAGCTGAAACTTGGATAACTACCACAACCATCATCAAGAAGGTGCAAGTATTTATATATGGTTGTCTACGCAAGATACTCCAGATTTGTTGATCGGATGCCTTCAGCAACAGCCTTCTGTGGGATATAAAAAACCAGCTTCCAGCTGAAGAGGAAATTAGGAAAACACGATGGAAATGGATAAGACATACATTAAGTAAATCACCAAACTATATCACGAGGCAAGCGCTAACTTGGAATCCTGGATGGAAGCGGAAAAGAGGAAGGCCAAAGAATACATTACGTCGGGAAATAGAAGCAGATATGGAAAGGATGAATAACAACTGGAAAGAGATGGAAAGTATTGCCAAGAACGGGGTTGGATGTAGAGTGCTTGTAGACGGCCTATGCTCCTCCATGAGGAGTAACAGGTGCAAGTAAGGAACTATTATTTTCCTCACGCCCTCATTGAGTTTCTATGCTTCCTCTGGAACTTCAATCATGTTGTTTTGTTCTTGGCGAAAGTCGCATTGATTTATTCCATTTTTTATTGTGTTGGTTGCATTGACTGCAATTGTGTATTTTTCATTGTGTATTGAACGATTGTTCTAGAATAGGAAACGCCCGGTGTTATAACGCAATCAAATATTATATTTCGAACGAATCTGTACGTGACCTACCCGAAAAGGATAGGATAATAATGTATGATCGAGCAACTCATAGTTCATTTCAGTGAATTTGCATTGCGCATATATTTCAATGTCAGTTTGTGCGAATCCAACCATTACCCAGAAATTTATGTTTATCAAGCAGGGACTTGATAATTTCCATTAGAGATTTTACTTCATGCTCTAAAATCCACGTTTTCTCGAAATTTTTCTCTGACAACTTTGGATGCGCTCATATTATGAATTATTATAAGACATGTGAAAATAGCTCTAAACGATAGAAATAAAATTCATAGCAAAGTTTTCCATTTACATTCACAATCAATTTTCAAGTTTCTTATAATTTTGAACTAACATACTGATTTCGCCTATAATATTTCTATCTTTCTTGAATTGTATTTCATCATTTGGTAATTCCTTTTAGGTTTGTTGGTACTATCCAGTTGATTGTACTCTCTCAAGGTCATTTCAAATTCAGAAAGGTCGTTGTAGCGACAAAGCTGTGGTTTATATATTTTGCTACGATCTACGAGGTTACATTTTGACAGTCTGGTTCTAACCCAGTACTTGTAATTTCAACAACGTCTGCAGTAATTCTTAAAACCAAAGCAAGTAAACTATTAGTTTGATACAATTGTACTAAAATTTGGTCAAATAACTGTGTGACGAAATTTTGATTCAACTCAATCTAGGGAAACTTTCTTCGATTTTTGGAAAATCCAGGAAAATAACAATTAAAAACTTTCTGGAAAGAAGACTATGGAACCTAAGTTTTTCCCTCGTTTGGAGAAAAACTGCAGATTTTCATATGACATTGGGGAAAACCCCAAAATTTCTACTACATTTCTAAGACTTCTTAGGGATTAGGATGTAAAAATTTGTGCTCATTACTGGAGTTTATTCAGATCAATAATTTTGCAGAATTATTAATATGTTATATATATATAATCTGTGAGTGCACTTATATTCTTTCATATGTTTGCCACTTCTTACCACAAAATGCGAATCCCTTGCTAAATCGATCTTAAGACGTAGAGATCTAATGGTTGTATCAACTCTTTCACAACACTAAGTTAACCAGTGGCTTGATAAAAACTACAACAAATACTAAAAACCTAAATGACCGTACCGATCAAACTCCGTGTCTAACTTATGTTGATTTTCTATCTTGCGAAACATATCATCATCCCTTTATCAAGGAATATATAAAATAAATGATAAGTATTGTTAAAAAAAACGCTAATACTTTGTCGATATAGATCCAGTTTATAATTTCGAAATTTTTTCATTGTTTTGCAGATGGCAAATTCAGGAGTTGATTCTGTGCTCATAGTATCCAAAGACTATTTTATCTCACTTATGCGACACCCAGTTAGACATTTACTAGTGGCGTGGAGTCTTGGATTGATATCATGGAAAATAATAACTTGTATCCGTACATATCAGAATCAGAAACTGTTAAAATCAAAGCAGATGCGTATTGCTGATAACACGGAGAAAATGAGGAAAATTTTGTCCAAATTAACTCACTCATCTATACCTATGGCTATTTGTAGTGAGAATTTACCCTATCTTTGTGAACAAATCAAAAAGAAGAGAATGACCCCCGTGGATGTTCTACATGCATTTCAGTTCAGAGCATTACAATTGCAGGATAATAATAATTCAGGCATTGCTGAGTTTATTTTAGAAGCAGAAGAGTACGCTGCCAACTTGACGAAATCCCCAATGAATATCGACGAACAGTCCGAATTATACGGAATCCCTATCAGCATAAAAGAAGGGATCGCGATACGTGGCTATGATGTCACTATGGGTATCATAAAACGATGTAATCAGCCTATAGATGAGGATTGTGTACTCATCAAGGTACTGAGAAGTGTTGGTTCAATTCCTTTTGTGACCACCGTCACAACTCAGTTATGTCGCACACTGGATAGCTTTCACAGTATTTATAATGATGCAAAAAATCCATTCAATAAATCCAGGTTGCCGGGTGGGAGTTCTTCGGGTGAAGCTGTATTATTGGCACAGCATGGTTCTCCTGTAGGTATAGGTGGAGATATCGCCGGTAGTATCCGAATACCCTGCGCATTTTGTAATTTAGCTGGCTTGAAACCAACTTCTGGGAGACTGAGTCTATTAGGTTTTGTATCGGCTGCCAAGAAATCAGTATTGTATTTATCGCCTTGCCTAGGACCAATGGCTAGAAAGGTGGACGATTTAGCTTGTGTGATGCGTGCGTTATTGTGCCATACAATGTTTGATTTAGATCCGTATGTTATACCGATGAGCTTTGACCGAGTGTCTTATGAAGGGAAGAACAGAAACCAGTTGGTGATCGGTTATTATCTTAACTTCGACGACCCAAATCTCATTCAAGTCTTGGACGTAAATCAGCAAGTTGTAGAAAAAGCAGCCAAAGCATTAGAAAGTGCTGGACATCGACTTGTAAAGTTCACAGTTCCTGATCCTTATAAAGCCTTTATACTTGGTTTGCATGCCTTGTTTGCAGATGGTGGTCAGGAACTTCGAAGTCATCTTCGAGGGGAACCACTTAGTCCGCATATTAAACTTATCAGTACTGTTACTAGAATTCCAGACATTTTGAAACCTATTGTCGGGTTGATTTCTAAACATTTCATTGGTAAACCGGTCTGCCCATCAGGTGCATTCCAGAAACTTGGCAGTGGTCAGGCAGCAGTTAATTTAATTTCTGAAATCGAAGCTTACCGATACGAATTTGCAAAAGCTTGGAATAATGCAGGCCCACTGGATGCGTTAATATGTCCTGTATTTCCTTATCCTGCACCACCAGAAGATGCCTCACAAGTATATATATCTCCATCCGTTATCTACACTTTCCTGTATAATATTCTGGACTATCCTGCTGGAGCTGTCCCAGCTGGCTTTGTCACCGAAGACGATGTTCGAAATTCATTAATGAAATCTGAATCACTGTATTCTACCGGTGATTCTTACATGTCCAAAGTATACGGACTATTAAATGGAGGAGAAAACCTACCACTGTCTATTCAAGTGGTTGGTAAACCGTATCATGAAGAGACCGTTCTTCGAGTTATGCGTGAAATAGAAAGTAGTTTCTCTCAGCAAACTGAGTCGTAATTTCAAAGAGTATTTCAACCTTTTGTTATCGTATTTCCTCTTTATTTAATTTCATGTCACCTTTGTTTCTTTACTAGCATTTTGTTAAGTTTTGATTTAAACTTTTGTACCTAGTTCTTCTGAATTAAGATTGCTGATTAGTGTTATTTACTCTACATTTTCAATGATAACTGAAGTTTACTTTCTCGATTTTTTAGTTCTCTTTACTGTGATAATTGTGTCTGTTAATCTTCATTGTAGATTTTAGCAAACGATTCCATCAACTTTAACCAAAATTACCGTACTTATTAAAAATGTGTTGCTTTTTGGATGATGGTGGATGATAATATTAGTCAGTTAGGTGTAATGAGATGGAACCTACTACTATATAATTCAATTTGAGATTAGAAAACTATTTAAATAAAATAAAAACGACACAAAGCGTTTCATTAAATAGAACAGTGAAGCTAATTTCTTATCTAGAGCGACGTGACTTTTTCTAGGATCTTGATAATAACTTGTCTAGAGGTCAATTGTAAGAAAGATTTTGGTGTTTTAAAATTCATACATTTGTGTATGGTAGTTTTTGGGAGGTTTTTTATTTGTTTAGATCTCATATCTACTGGTACTCGTTAATGAGATGAACCTGTTGTTATGAGGGAATTTATCATGCTTTTTCTGGTCTGGTAATTCTCTTTCATAGTCAGTGTTATACGTTTTAGTGACTAATTATGTAGCGTTTTACTTCGGGCATATCTTCAGTACTCCTTTTCTTGTTGGCTATTCCCACTAAGATACTACCAATACAAGTTGGTCGAAGAGATATTGTTCAGTTATTATCTGATCATCGTCCAACACTAATATACGGGTTTGCAGTTAAGTATAAAATTAATACAGAATAAATAAAGGTAAGTCCAACTATTAATATATCCCAGTATTTTGTCTAAAAATAAGAATCATTTATTAACTGAATAGATGAAAAGTTAGAACAAGTACAAAGTTGTTTAACCGGGTTAGTCATTACGGCTAACCACATACGAATGAGATTTGAGTTTGAAATGAGGGAGTCGGATATAAATATTTAGTTTTATCTGTGGGAATAATCCAAAGAAAATTAGACAATAAAGTCAGAAAGTTGAATAATTATAAAATAAGGAACTGAAATTGAGAGGAATGACAGTAATTGATTAGAGGGCCACGCGTGGAGACTTCAAAAGCGGTTTCTGTAAGCAAATATCAGATTTATTTATGTATATTCATTCTCCTGCTGTAAGACATTCTGAAAGGTTGGAGTAAGTTTGACGCAGTTTTACAGAAAACTCTAAACGCTAACACTGTGACGATGCGATGACCAATATTTGTAGATGCTCCAGCGTACAGCTCATTTTTCATTGTTTGTTCAACCATGAAGTTCGGAGCTTGGGAAAGTAATTACTTATTTAACTGGATGTGCTCTCAACAAAAATCGCTTCACATGAGTTGAAGTGGTGAATAACCAGGCAGCAAACCTAGTTTGTCTTTAATTTGTGGACATACTGTTTTCGCGTGGAAAAGAATATGACTTTGTTGCAGTGAATGTTTATTACGAGGCCTTATAATTTTTATTACTATTCCAGTAGTTATGTCATCTATAATTTCTAAAATAAACGTTTTTGGGCAGTGCTGATAATTTCATTTTGCTTAGGACGTATTTCACCAGAAACTTTGCCACAAATCCACTTTTTAGGGAAATCGTAGATTCGTCTTAGTCCCTCTCTGGATGTGTAATTGAACCTAATTTAACTTGCATTTCAATGGAGAAAAGCTAAAAAATCTATGTTTTGGCTTCGTGTAGTTGGCTCACGATAAATGTTTACTTTTACTATCTCTTTAGGATTTATGTGCTTCCAAGAGACAAATGTGCTGCCACCAAGACCAAGTATCGCATTGAAGGCTTATGGGGCATCACTATGGCTTATGTTTGCTATCAAAGGACTGAATCGGTTCGTTCTGTAATTTTCGTGACAAATCAGTTATATCACAAGATACCTATCACTGTATCTAATAGGATAGGAGAAATTTGTCAACTAACTCTAAGATGCGAAGTGACTTATGTTAACTGCAACTGACTATTCCTCAATGACCATTAACATTTCAGCGTGTTTTGAAATCGTATCTGCACATTGAATTCTTTCGATATCACTGCCACATCTTTTGTGCGTTCATTCAGTCACTAAAGCTTCAAATATAACGTAATACAACTGCAGCAATTATGTTAATAGGTATACCTTTTTTCGGAGCTTGAATTAACATACAGTCCTATTATGTCTGGGACAATTACTGTCCAGTGATTGCAGGTTTTCAATGGTGGTTTAGCTAGTGTCAGTCCGTGATTTAAACTTTGATAATCCTATGTGATTGACAGTGACTATTATATATCGTCGTTTTAAGTACCCAAAGTAATTTTTGACGAACTTTTTGTAGTTATTTTTTGCCAGTGGTTTTTAGTCATGTAGTCCGTGTCTGGTGTACCACCCATTCAACGATGAGAAAAAACTTATACTGTATTTCAGTTTAAAAAAGCGAAGCTGTGAACTGTTGTTTGTTATCTTTAACTTGATTACTAATAACGAATGGATTGATTAAAAACTCTAATACGAATATTTCTGGATGCATATTTATGTAATTGAATACATTGGAATGTACAGCAGTAATAAACAATAAAAGCATAATCAGATTGAATGCATACGACTAGATTGTGATAATAATAGTATTGAATTAATACTTGAATGAAACCCCTTAGTAACTGAACTTGATTTATGTCTACACTGACACTTGGAATCATCAGTGATTGCATTTTAGTGGAGTAATAGCTGAGCAAAACTTAGTCACAAGAGTTGAATAAATGCATTTGACATTCAAGTACTCTATCAGATATCGTATTCCAAAATGAGTATATAGTTGTGTGGATGTAGTATGCTTGTATTAAATGTCAAACAAAGCAAGAATCGGCGGGCCCAAAGATGTTCTGTGAATTCTCAGTATCATGTTACCAAAGTGAATGAAGTAAGAAAAAATTGAATAAAGCCTGTACAGCTCACCAGTTTGGTGTAATAGACTGAAGATTTGAGCAGTTGTGGTGTTTATATGAGTAATCATTCATTTGTACTTATTGAATGCTTGATTTCTAATTCCAAATACAGTACATTCGTTAGTGCTTATCTAGTACTTCTTGATCCAATTATATTATTTCTGGGATTCCTAGTTTTTACTATAATTCAAATACTTCTAATTATCATAGCAATATGTAAAACTGTAAGTTTCATTGTATCACGGTCTATCTAGCAGTCCTTAAAAGCAATTGTCTGATTCAGTTACTTGCATCAATTTGATATCCATCTGTATAATATAGTTCACTATGGTACAAAATTTAATGTTGCTTCAATCAATCAGAAACCAAACTAAGTTTGCTTTAAGACCGGAAGCTACTTGGTTACTGTGTTTTACTACAAATATAGGTAGACATTATCCTTGTATTCGTTCGTGTTGTATGGTCATCTGTGGAGTTTGACACTGAAAACTAATAATTTCATTCAAAGTATTCTCAAACAAACATTGACATAAATCATGAATATTTTGTAGCGAACATATGGCTTACATCATAAGCATTCAGCCCAAAAATCGTACTCTGAATTTATATAACAGAGTGTTAAAAACTGTTGTATGACCTTATCTGACTTGCATGTTTAGCAGTGATGATATTGATTATGATGTACTTATTAATACATTATTCCTGCTGTTAACTGGTGTAATATATATGCATACTTATCTATTTTTGTTCGCATCTATCACTCTCTATTTACATATATAGGCTGAGACAAAGAATATTTTCCAGAATTGCAGTAAAGCCAACTCATCAGTCAGTCAGCTACAACATAGGACCGGGCACATACATGCATCGATCCAAGTTGCCATACCTCATTAACACAACAAGATGAACACCGGATTCATAAAAGTAGTTAATTCAGAGGTGGTAATATATAAAAGAAGCATTGCAATAATGATATAGTACGGGAAGAAAGAATTAGTTCATAGAAAGAAAGATATCAAGTGATTTTAATCTCTACGTTTGAGGGAAGACGAATAGTGTATACACCTACGCTATTGTGATGGATTCTGAGCCATGTCACCGAGAGTCTCCAACCACTCCTTACTATATTCACGCGGACCCCAACCAAATAGTCTGCATCTACAGACATAGCTAAGACTAGGAGTTAGTGACTTCAAGCACTGATGCCACGTTTCGGTCTAGCCGCCCCTAACTTTCTTCCAACCATCTCCAACACCGGTAAGCATTGCACGTCGTGGTAATCGGTGTTCAGGCATACGCAACACGTGGCCCAACCATCTTAGTTGATGAAGATTTACAACCCAATCAACTGATTTACCATTATTCCCTCATATCCTGCGTCTAACCTCACTATTACTTACCCGGTGATCCAAGTAGATGCCAGCTATATTTTTAAGGCATCTGAGGTCAAATACTAATAACTTACGAGTATCTGTTACTCCTAATGGGCGTGCTTCGCAGCCGTAAATTAAAACAGAACAAACTGCCGCGCAGTATAGTCGTCCCTTAATTGATAGACGGATTTCTCGCCTTCGCCATAGGTGACGTAAGTTGGCAAAAGCCAAGCGAGCTTTTCAAATCCGTGCTGAGATTTCGTCAGACACCAACCCAATAGGGCTGATCAGACTTCCAAGATAAGTGAAGTTGTCGACGCGTTTGACTACTTCACTCCCTATCCTTAGTTCAGGTGTTGACGCAGACCAGTCCTGAAGCAACAACTTGAATTTAGAGGGAGAGAAACGCATTCCAATCATTCTGGCATTGTTGCTCAGTGCTAACAAAAGACTGCATTTTATCAGCGTCTTCACCAAACAGGACTATGTCATCTGTGTATTCTAAGTCGATAAGTGGACCTCCTGTGAGGAGATCAATGCTCGACAATTCAGTCGACGAGAATGTTATTTCCATCAATAGATCTATGATGAAGTTAAACAAAAATGGAGAAAGTGGATAGCCTTAACGGACACCACTTGAGGTTGCAGAATCAGATGACAGTTCACTATAAGCTCTGACTCGACTAGTAGTGTTCGAGTAAATAGCCTTCACAAGGTTTATGTACTTCTGGGGTACGCGTTTCAATGACAGACACTGCCACAGAATCTCGCGGTCTACAGAGTCAAATGCTGCTTTTAAGTCAAGAAAGACCATCGTTGTCGAACGCTGATAAGTATGCCTATGTTTTAGAACCTGACGATTGATGAATATGTGGTCAATGCAGCCACGACCAGGTCTTAAGCCAGCTTGGTTCTCTCGTGTGTGCAGTTCACG